TGAAACCAAAATACTCATGTCATTGACCCATACTTGCTTCTTATTTAATGTCATTAGACTGCATTTTACACGAAAAATTGATTGAAAGAGATTCATAAATTGCTCTTCCTGGGAACCTAAGAAAGATTCCCTTAGAATTGTGATTTTTGGATTGTTCGAAGAAGTTTTTAGCATACTGTCTTATGAAACTGTTTAATCCGTTCTTATATTTCGTCTCATTTTATGGGCACGGTATGAATGAAGCTATTCATTAGGAAAACTTCACAAAGCACTAAGTTGAGAGTGGGGACAGGCTGAAATCCCATCTACAATTTCTGTCAGATAACAGAGAAGCCTAGTGCGGAAACATCGGGCTTAGGATTATTTGCGTTGTCTTCCTAGCACCATCTAAAAATTAGCCACTCCAGCTCCTATCTCAGCCAAGGCCAATTTCTAAAATCCATTCCAATCATTTGTTTTTAAAATGATAAGCCCATTGATATAAAGTCACCAAAGGACTCTTCGAACCCCAGTCTGCCTTTACACGAATAATAGTTTTCCGCCTCGGTATTGCTTAGAGGGCAAATGTATGCAGAATAATTTGGTTTCGCCTCCTATTTCTGTCGATCGTATTGTTCTTTTCAATTATTTTTTAAATATCTCTAGTCTTTAATATTTCATTTAAATCCCTTCTTATATCCAGTCTATACTTTATGCATGAAGCTCGCAAATTTTATGCTTGGTGAAATGGCCATTGCTATTTGTTCATGTGGAGCCATTAGTCTGATATCGTTATTTGTCCAAATTGTATTCCTGGTATGGTTACCTTCCTAAATAGTTTGAACTATTTCAAACCAAATAATTCTTTTAGAAAGTTGGGTTCTTTTATCTATTTGGTTTTCTCATTCATGGATTTCGTAAATTCTACACATGATTCATTAAATAAAAGTGGCATATATCACAGCTATCTCATCTTACTGTGTCTATAAAGATATTTCCCACATTTATTACGGTAATTCATAGGTGGTTATTTGTAGATAGATCTCACCAAAACTTTATTAACTTCCTTTTTAACTGTCGTTTGAGTTTACCACAGCGTTTAGGTTGGAATCATCAGAGGCATCCTATTTCGGTTAGAGCGAAAATTGGATAATGATTTGATTAATGATTTTTCATTTTAATTTAATTATTTGTTGCTCTTGACTAAAGGACTGATCATTTATCCTTACCACAGACGAATACCATGTGTCAGAAATTCTCAGTGCTCGCATCAATTAATTTTTCTATCAGCAATCCTTCAAGCGATAGATTCATATTCGATTAGTGAATTGTAACTTTTAGTTAATTAGCCCGACGACTAAATGATTTGCCTCGGTCTTTGTCTGTCGGTTGGATCATGTACAAAGCACAGCTTAGGTGTGCCTTGGATTTAATTGCATTCTTATATTTAATTACGGTAAATAAATTCTTACTAAATAGCCTAATTAAAAAGCTTTTCAAAATCTATACTAGTGACAAAAATTAGATTATAGCACTGCTCATTATAGGTATTTTTGGAATCAGGAAGAACTTTATTATTTATTAGAGTTTGATTCACTCTCGGTGCTTTGGACTCAGTAATTGAGATCAAATACTAAGGCATTTTACAATTGATGTTAGCATTCATGTTCGATTTCATATTGGTACAAGGTAGCAACTGAATTTCGTTTTAGGACCTTTTAAGAAAGAAATATACATACTTTTGATTACAAATTAAACCCTTTCTGTTTGCCCTTCATTATTCCTGCATGTCTCCAGGGTGACTACAACATGACTCCGGATAGACATTTGGGTGCTGCCTGGGCTCCTTGTTGTCGGCCTGACCTTCTTATTACAGAGAGCACATATGCTACAACGATTCGTGACAGCAAGAGGGCAAGGGAGCGTGAATTTCTTGAAAAAGTTCATGCTTGCGTCGAGGCCGGTGGCAAGGTTCTTATTCCAGTTTTCGCATTAGGTCGGGCCCAAGAATTATGCATCCTCCTTGAGTCATACTGGGAACGCATGAGTCTTTCGGTTCCTATATACGTATCCACTGGGATGGCAGAGAAGGTATTCTTATTTATTTGAATTGATTCGCATGTTTCCTAAATTTTACTCGTTAGGATGTATTCAATAAGAGAATGTTTTATCTACTTGTTATCATGTATGTACGCATTATTTTGGCAAAGTTTAATGAAGTTGAAGGGCAATTAAGCTTTAAAAATGTTAAAAGTAAAATTAGCCAAATGAGGTGGCTATGACTATGTCTCTACCTAAAATGTAATAAAAATATATAATTTAACAGTTGTACACTGGTAACATAATCGATTAAGTGTATAAAATTCACTCCTGATTCATAAAT